CTTATCTCTGGAAATGAAAAGAAGGGGGATTTTCCCCTAGCTCTGTCCCAGAAAGGTAGAATACACATTAAAAAGGAAAATCCAGCTTCAAAAGGACGCGGCGCTTTCTTGCCAGATGCGCTATCTCGGGATGTGGATGTTGCTCCAGGACAGTGTTTTTCAACCTTGCAGAGTCCTTGGGGTTCTCTGAGCTTGGCTCTTTTCTTGCAAACGTTTCGTGACCCGGCTAAGTAACATCTTCAGTGCTAGAAGGAGTGGGGTTTGCTCTCTGTCTTGCAAACCCCACTCCCTTCTAGCACTGAAGATGTTACCTAGCCGGGTCACGAAACGTTTGCAAGAAAAGAGCCAAGCTCAGAGAACCCCAAGGACTCTGCAAGGTTGAAAAACACTGTCCTGGAGCAACGTCCACATCCCGAGATAGCGCATCTGGCAAGAAAGCGCCGCGTCCTTTTGAAGCTGGATTTTCCTTTTTAATGTGTATTCTACCTTTCTGGGACAGAGCTAGGGGAAAATCCCCCTTCTTTTCATTTCCAGAGATAAGATAGGCTGAATTTAGCATTACGCCATTACATTCTTGCCCAAATGGGTTTTCAACTTCGGTCTTCCTGATTTCATGGTGAAACACTCCAACCCACTCAGGTCTTATCTAAGCTGTGAAAAGTTAAATCCCGTGAAGAGCAGTGTGGAAAGTATACTGATATCCCTGGGAACTTGAATGGATCCTGGATCCAATCCAAAACCCATCTTTTTGGTCTTTCAATTGATCCGAAGCCCAGCCCAAATGAACCACGAGGCTTTTCTGCTGTTCCCCAGCTGCACCCCGTGAATTTGTCACCCGGTGCAAAATTGAATAGATTTCCTTTCTAAAACACAAGCACACGTTTCTAGCCCTCAAGCCTGGGACAACGAACTCCCAACCATGATGGGATAAAACACTCCAATGAGACAGAAACCGTATCTTAAGCAAAAGCGTGGATTTTCATTCAGGTAGGCACACAACCGTTTTTTTAACAATCCCTGCTCATAGAAACACGTGCATCAAGGGGTATTCTAGCTAACCTGCTACTTTTCTAAACACAGGGAAGATGCAAATTTACCACCATATTTTATGAGTCCTAAACAGCTCGGATTTTATTTTCCGGAATAGCATTTGCAGAGATTTACCTCTGTCTGGGGAATGCAGGTACAATTTATAACTGCCTGGCTTTTTGGCCTGCAGGTACAGAACAAGCTTTGGTTTCTTTTGTGTCTCTTGCACACACGCACACACAGACACACACGCATTTCTCATTGTCCTCCCCCACCCCAAACAGACTGGGTCGGTTTCTCCAGCCGTACCCAAAATAACCGAAGACAAAACCTCCCGTAATTAGCAAGGGAAGCAACTCTCCCAGCTGTCTTCGCCCTCTTTTCCCATCACAAGGCTGTCTTGCCCGAGGGCACGTACTAAATCCGCCCCACCGCCGCAGACAAGCACCGAAAGTGTGCAAGATTGGGCGGCGGGCAGAAAGCACCATCTGGATACGATCAGCTGCTGGAGCTCGCCGGTCCAAATCCACACATGCCCGTTTCCGGGCTCAGCAGATATTCAGAAGACGAACCCGGCCTCATTTCGGGTTCTTCCAACCCCATTTCTCTGGGATGGGTTTCATTCTTGGCCAGGCTGGTTAAGGAGTTGCAAAGGGGGTTGTTATTATTATTTTTTTCCCCTCCAGTCTGGCTTTCTTTCTGTTTCTAATCGAGGCAAAACATCTCCCCGCTTCCCCTTGATTAAACAGCCGAAAAAGGAAAAGCGCAGGGGAGGGCAAAGGAAAACAACCGCAACACATGGCTGTCTTAAAGCGGAGCCTGGCGCGCACACAGGAACCACGTCTGGAAATGCGGGGCTGAACTGCGGGCCGTCACCAGAGTCCGAATGCGAAGGGGATGATTTTCAGGACTGAGTTAGGTTGATAAGGGTCAAAGGAAGCAGGCTTTGGAGCATGACAGAATTCCTAGTCTCTCCTAAAACGCTGGCTGGGGTCTAGGATGCAAGTTATTAAATGCAATTTGATTTCGTCTCAAAGTGAGAACTTGGCTGGTCTAGGGAAGCGAAGCAGGCTGGACCTAGTGGGGGAGGGAACGGGAGACCAAAAGGACATTTATTTAAACATTTATTATATATAGTATTGTTGGCAAGAAATAACCAGGGGCTGAGTTGGATTAGAGCCACATTTTTCAATCTTGGCACCTTTCAGAGGGGTGGACTCCAACTCCCAGAATTCCCCAGCCACCACGCTGGCTGGGGAAT